CAACCTAAGGAGCAGGTTAGAACCAACTCTGAAATTTTCAGAAAAAAAAAAAAAACAGGGGAAATGAGAGAAGCACTGTGCTAGGCAGGGAAAGAAAAGCTGCCAGAGGCCAGAAGCGAGAAAGGAAGAGGAGAGGGTGTGGTGGGAACAGGGGAGAGGTGCAGGCCTTCGCCAGAGTCGAGAAGGACATGCCTCCGCAGAAACACCATGGGGTGGGGTGCTTCCCCAGGGGCGGGTTCCATAGGCCCCAAGCAAGGATGGGGTAGCACGCTGCTTGCCCTGGGGTGTACGTGCCTGAGGAGAGCTGGTAAGCCACAGAGAGAAGGCCTGGGAATATCATGGCTTGGTGGGGCTGACTGGGCCGCCATCTTGCCAAGCCACTTTCTTACCTTCACCAGAAGGCTTCGTTGTCTCCAAATGTCATCATCTGAGATGGGCATCAGGCAGAGAAGTTTCCTTGGATGGGAAACAGAGCACCATTTTTACCCTTGATGGGAGAGCTGTTGGTTTGTATTTAAGTGCAGACATCATGGATTCCAGACCTCAGGCATCAAAGGGCTTCCTGGCACTGCCAAAACCAAAAAGATTTCCCCTTCCATCTCCTTGATTCCAATAAGACTTGGAGTCCTCTATGGATTTTGGCAACATAAAATAACACATTCCAGAAACAAAATTTTGCCTATGAAAATACTTAAGGCAGTAGTTGCCTTGTTTTCTAAAATTTAGGAGTGGAAGTCCAGCGTTGCCATAATCACGTGGGTTCCTTAAGCCCACTGAATCTAAAACCAAGAAACATCAAAGAATTCTCATGTACTAACACACCTCAGAGGACTTGGAAGGATTCATGCCAGTGACTCACATGGGAGTAGAAAGCCATGTAATTGAACAAAACATGAATAGCAGCCTTGGACTTAAACCAAGTTTATTCTTTGAAAAGTTCCGTAAAATAATCCTTTGGCAAAGCTAACCAACGAGAAGAAAACTGAGAACAGAGATATAAAACTTTAAAAAAGGAGAAATAGAGATTGTAAGGAAAAATTAAGAATTATGATTAATTAAATTTATGCCAGAAACTATGAAAGTTTTTGTGGAATAATTTCCAACAATAAATTTTAAAACTTTACACAAAATCTGTAGAAACAAATACTGTAAGATAAATTATATGTAATAGATAAAAACTATTCCTTAAAAAAAAAACCCAGATTATTTTCAGGAATATGGGGGTTTTTGGTGGATGCATTTATTATTCTTATCTGATTTGGGGTTAGTGTTATTTCTGGCCTTAGAGAGATAYAGATTTCCACATTTCCAATGCTCTGGAATAGTTTTCATTAAGATAAAATATGTATTTTAACTTCATGAAAACTTGGTTTTCTAGTGGACTTCCGTATAGTTGGTCTTCTTGGACTTCCCACAGTAAAGAGGATGAAATCATGGAGTTTGGAATTTGCCAATTTTATCTGCTATGCAAATAAAATGTGTTCATTTATTTATAACACAAAGCTTACCGTTATTGGCATRTAGCGCATGCACAGTGTTGTTTCTCCACTGCTAATATCTCATTCCAGAACATTTCTGAGATCACTTGTAGAGCACAATCATCTCTCCTTGGAAGATTAGTTACTTTAGATTAAACGTGCCACTGGGCGGGGAAAACCTCATTTCTAACCAGCCTTATTTCTCTGTTTCTGAGACCCRTGGACTAGACCCTACCGGGGACTGTGGAAGTAGCCCATCCTTCTCGCTGTCCCACTATTTCTRCTCTGTATGTCCCAGAGCAGTGCTGGCCTGGCCACAGAGTTCTGTGGTCATCGTCATCTCCTTAGGTACCTTTTTAACTGGAACTTAAAAAAAGCTCTTTGCCCATTTAATTTTCTAAAGTATTAAATTCTGTTCCCGTAGCGTCTTTAACCCAGTCTGTTGCTGGGTGAATTCGATCCACTTGCTTATTCTGACCACAGTACATCTGGATTGGCTACTGGACTGTCATTTCTTTCCCACCCAGCCTCCCTGCTGTTTGCCCTCCTCCCGACCTGGGCCTGATGTTGTGGTTGTTGTTTTCCCTTTAATGTTCTAGATGCGAGATCCTGTTTCTTCCAGTGGCCCTCTTACATGTTTTGGACACACATATTTATACTTTTTCCACTCCCATGTCGATCACTGTCGCCCCAATAAGTCAAGGATTTTAGCTCAGTTCAGATTTTCTCAGTTCCTCCATTGCTGGTCATTCCCCCTTCCAGCTGTCATGTTGGGGTGTAAGATACTCATTCAGTCACTCAGTGGGCATCCATTGAGCACCTGCTGTGGGCCAGCATCTTCAAGGTTCTGAGTTTATAGCAGTGAAATTTATAGTACAAAATTCCTCCTTTCATAAGGGGAGAACAAAAACACCCCAAAACCTAAATAAGTAAAAACGCTTTCTGTTAATAGGTACTCAGTCTGGGATGGCCTCACTGAGGAGAGGTCCTTTGAGTGGGAAGGAGGGCAGAGTCCTGCAGAAGAAATACCAAAGCCTCAGGTGGCACTTACCAGGCAGGAGTCCGGGTGATCCAGGGGGCTGACACACAGGGAGCGAGGGGAGGGGCCAGGGTCAGCAGTGACCGTGGGCATTCCTTTTTGCTGCTATCTCAAGGAYTTCCCCAGCCCCACTGCCCAGCTCTGTTCTGCGTGGCTATTCCACCTGCCTCTGGCAGTGTGTAGTTCTGATTTCCAAGACCTATCATCGAYCGTCATGTTTCTGGATACATTGCATTCTCACTTCGGATTTTAACTATACTCGCTTCCAAGGATTCTGTTTATTTTATGGACTCTTCATAAAGGCTACCTCTTCCTCTCCCTATAAAGTGTTTCCTATACTTTTTCTGAGTCCTTGTGCTTGTTTCTGTTCAAGGGAGTTGTGGTTGGCTCACTGTGGACCACAAACTGCCTCAGGTGATTCTGGGGGCCACGCCTGCAGCAARGAGTGCCAGTGGCTCTCTCTGCAGGTCAGGCTCTCCCGCCCCTCCTGCTGAGGTTCCAAACCTGCTTCAACCCGGCCACAGCAGGCAGCTTCCCAGCCCTGTGGGGGCCCGGCAGGAGGAGCCAAGARGATCCCCCCACTGCTCCCAGCAGCTTCCCCAGTTCCTTGTCCCAGGACCTTGGGCCCCACCCACTTCTAGCCATTTTGAAGCCCAGAATGTCCCAAACCTCTTTCCTTTGTGAAAGGCTTCTCTGCCTATTTTGAGCTGGGACCCTCCATTTTTGTCTTTCCGCACATTCTGCTCACCTGCCTTTTCTCCTTTAGGGACTCCTCCCACTTCTATGGCTCTATTCTTATTTCCTTTGCAAAGCTGAATTCTGCCATGCCATGAGACTTCAAGCAGGAAACCCCGGAGATCACTGGTCACACTGCTTCCTCTCAAAATGATGCAGTTAATACTCACCAGACAAACAATAAGTGCATTGTAAGTTTTATTTATAAGACTGGAACAGACAAAAGTATTAGTGTGGGTTTTTGTTTTGCTCCAAGTTTAAATTAACTAATAAAATGGAGAGAATGACACAGGAGCTACTATTTACAAAAGGCAGGTTGAACTAAAGGTCAGTTTTTATTCCAAAATAGGAATAATTACATATACAAAGTGATCATTTTATAAACATTGATCTGAATATTTTAGACTGGTGGACTTTCTTCCATAGGGGAAAAAGAGATTGACACAAACTCTTTGGCATCACTTTTAAAAACAGTTTCTGCTCCAGTTGTGGACATGGAAGAATGCATTCTGATGATTAATTTTTTAATATCTTTAAACTTTTCCTTCAGCTGTGGACTACTTCAAAAGCAGTGTGGTATGGGGAAGAGTCCTGGACCGTGGAGTCCTGAGACCAATAGTTGGAATTGTGCTTCTAGTTTTGGCCAGCTGTTTGACCTTGGCGAGTTGCATCCCAACTTTCTGGCTTTCCCAAAGGGAGAGAATTCGGATAACCATGGAACAGCATCTGGCCTGTAGGCGGCGCTCTAGGATGCTGGTTTTAGCAGGCGCTGCGGCTGTGAAAGTGTCAACCTGGGGCACATGCTTGCTTTTCTGCCACCTCCTCTCTGGTCAAGGGAGACTCTCCCCGGAGGAGCCAAGCAGGAATGGGAGAAAAACATGCTACCTAGGAGCTGCAAACTGGGCTTCTCTGAATCATAGTCCTAAGTCTAGTTCTTAACTATTTCATGCATTTCTTTGGATGTTTTCATTATTTTTCCAAGTAAGCAATGCTGTCCTTTCCTTTGTAAGGAAAATTTTAGGTCAACTTCTATAACTCTAATTTCCTCCTTAAAGCCATTTAGTTTTAAAGATAGCTTCTTTTTAATTTTGCCCTTTCTAAAAGATAGGGTATTTACCCAATCCTATTTTAATAGAATAATATTTGCTCTGAAGTAAAATAATTCATTTTACCTTATTAAATTTGGTGCCTCTGGGCTAGCTCCTGAAAGAGTAAACTGGCAAGCAATTAGATAATTCTAATTCTCATTAAAATGATCCACTTATTATTTTTTCTTGTCTCCAGTCTTTATGGATAAATGATCCTATAGAATATGGCTTTGGAGGAAGTTAYGGGGAAATCTACCTACTGCAGTCACACCCACTGCCTGAAATACTTGCACCTCGCAAGGTCGTCCCAGGCTCTTCAGAGTGAAAGAAGTCAGGGCTGTCCACGGAAGCACGTGAGTGGCAGGAGGGAGAGCAAAACCTCCTTCTTCATAAAATGGACTTCACAGACCCAAGGCTGAGAGGTCTGACCCGGGCCACAGGGTCTTGGGTTTTCGGTCCTGCCCATCAGAGACTGGTCCTCATGGCCCCCAGTCACTGCGCAGCATGCAGCCACAGGGCACAGCATGTACCATGGTGGGAGGGCTGTACAGCAGAGAGTCTCTGGGGCTTGTTCAGCTCTGACACCTCATGGTCCCAGGATCTTTGGCCCCAACAGCAGGAGGGCTCTGCCCATCCACTCTCCAAAGCTCTGGGCAGCTCTCAGATGTGCCGTCCAGTCAGAAAAAAGAGCGGCCTGTCTTCTTTCGCATTGGCGGTCTGGAACTCATCCCGCAGCCGGAACTGCCACTCGTCTTCCAGCTCCAGGCGGACAACTGTCTGGCGGAGCGAGTTCCGGTCCTGACAGATCACGCACAACGTGGCGCCTGCGGGGCAATGGCAGGGTGTGAGGGGAGAGCTGGTGAGTTTCTGCAAAGGGGTGCTCCTGCCTGGATCCCACCTGCCTGGATCCCACCTGCCTGGATCTCACCTGCCTGGATCCCACCTGCCTGGGTCCCACCTGCCTGGGTTCCACCTGCCTGGGTTCCACCTGCCTGGATCCCACCTGCCTGGGTTCCACCTGCCTGGGT